TTTTTTTGAGATAGAGTTTTGCTCTTGTTGTCCAGGCTGGAGTGCAATGGCGTGATCTCGGCTCAACGTCACCTCTGCCTCCTGGGTTCAAGTGAGTCTCCTGTCTTGGCTTCCCAAGTAGCTGGGATTACAGGCATGCACCACCACACCCGGCTAATTTTGTATTTTTAGTAGAGACAGGGTTTCTCCATGTTGGTCAGGCCGGTCTCGAACTCCCAACCTCAGGTGGCAGCCTCGGCCTCCCAAAGTGCTGGGATTACAGGCGTGAGTCACCACGCCCGGCCGGGAGGCAGGGTTTCGCTATGTTGGCCAGTCTAGTCTCGAACTCCAGGCCTGAGGTGATCCACTCGCCTCGACCTCCCAAAATGCAGGGATTACAGGCGTGAGCCACCTCCTCCAGCCCCTTGCTTTCTATTTCTACTGGGCAGCGCTGCTCAGTAACCATGCCAGTCCCGTACCTGCCTCTATGCAGCTGGGAATACTTACATCCCTGGGGCCCAAAGTGGCTCACTAAACCACGTGCCTTGTCCGGGCCGCGTTTATTTTGTTTGTTTGTTTTTGTTTTTGTTTGTTTGTTTTTTCCTCCTGGTCTTGTCCTTTGTAAAGAACAGTCGTTAAGCAACCCAGCAAATATGCAATTCGCGTTTTCAGTAAATTTATCCAAACCGCATTCCATTCTTTACCCTCCTGCTTCTGCGCAGACACGCTCCCTTAATGACGTTTGTCCCACGTCGCTCTCCGTTCGCTCCCAGGCATCCCTGCGCGTGCACCTCTCTCTGCGCCTGGAGGTATGGCGTTCCGGTGTCAGCGTGACAGCTATGCTCGAGAGGTACGGCGTCACGGGCGAGGCACTTGAGACTGCCCGGCCGGCAAGGCGGTTTGGGGAAGAGGGTGCCACGTGGAGGGATTCAGTCCCGGTGTGGAGAGGGCTGGGGCTGGGGCTGGGGTCGGGGCTTATTCTCTCATTCCTTTCCCTTCAGTTCACCACCACCGTGGTCTCCTGCCGTCCCGCGGAGCTGCAGACTGAAGGGAGCAACGGCAAGAAAGTGCTGAGCGGTTTCCACGTGGTGCTGGAAGACACACTGCTTTTCCCTGAGGGCGGGGGACAGGTACCAAGCCAATCTCTTCCCAGGAAGCCCCAAATTTCTTTGTGCTCAGGCAGGAAATGCTCTCCTGCCCCTTTTTTCTCAGCCATAATGAATTCAGATGAGCCTTAGCTTAATTCATTTTGTTATTCATTTAATAAGTATTTATCAGCAAATGCTTATCTAGACTTAACGTATGCTAGATATTATTCCAGGCTGTAAGGATAACCGGTAAACAACACCGTGCCTTTATATACGTGGAATGTTGATTGAAGACAACTGTGTGTGCCAGGTATAAGTAATAAATAAAAACCAAGTAAAGGGAAAGAGAGTGATGGGTTACTTGTCTAGATGAA